CAGAAGGGAAGAAGAGTAGAAAACAGATTATTTTTCATTCACACATACAGAAGGGAAGAAGAGTAGAAAACAGATTATTTTTCATTCACACATACAGAAGGGAAGAAGAGTAGAAAACAGATTATTTTTCGTTCACACATACAGAAGGGAAGAAGAGTAGAAAACAGATTATTTTTTGTTCACACATACAGAAGGGAAGAAGAGTAGAAAACAGATTATTTTTCGTTCACACATACGGAAGGGAAAAAGAGTAGAAAACAGATTATTTTTAGAGAGAAAGAATCTGGTGCATATTATATATTAAAATTACTGCTTCTGTATTGTGTATCTCCCATATATATGTGTGCACTAATAACAGTAGTAAAGCACTAAGTGGATAACCACAGTAAATGGAACAAACTATCAGAAGTCTCGATACTGGAGAAAATAGTTTGACATGTTTGTATGTTCTCTCAAGTCTCACATTGTCATTTAGCAGTTTTTCACTACTGCACACAATATTACTTTTGTTTATCATTAATAAACACTAGCAATCCACAGCCCAAAGTTTAATTATTTCAATATGATGTCTTTCCAGGTGACGAAGAGTCATTTTTAATAAACCTTTTTAATAATAACATATAATTCATGTGTATCTTCATCATCAACTTTCAGCTGTATTTTAATCTTGAAACAAACATGACACCAACACACACACACACACCTGCTAGTCTTAATATGACATTAACAATCCTGATTTAGACAGTTTGCCATTGGTCAAGCAGATTTTCAGGCACCTGTGTTTACTTCCGAGACTTGTAGCAAAGGTTTTCACTGACATATGCAAAAAATATATTTTCAGTCTCCAACACAATACATCCCACGCGAGGATTGAACAATATTGTTATCGTTGGGTTTACATTAATCTGATGAATGGCCAGTAGGCAACCGAAACAGCAGGAAAATATCACTCCCATCTTCATACTTACTTTATCATTCAAAAATGTGACACTAAGAAAGTAAACGTCTAGCTTTTCCCGGCTAAGACTTTGAATATTAATTAAGGACTAATAGAAAAGTTTACCATTTATCTGGACTTTGTGAGATTCCCACCAGGACGGCACTTGCTTGTGATATATAGCACACAAAGTAATGACTGGTTCGAAACGATAGTGCATCTCTATAAGCCGAAAGCCACCTGAAAATATTAGGAATGATGGAAATCTGGGATAAACATAAGATTACAAGAGTATCTCAAAGTGGTATCAGAATAAAGCAAATTTTTTTATAAGTATATTTGTTCTTAGAAATATATAATTTTGTTTTCATACATAAATACCACTTACAACACAAATATTTTTAAATGGTTATAACATCATCAACAACAATTATTTCAGCCTTTTGACTCTTCCCCATTCCTCAAAGACACACAGTAAAAATATAAATTTTAATCTAATATTTTCAAACATTCAATATATTCAAAAATAAAAATTGTATATTCTAAAGCAATTTGACAGTATGAGTAACAGCTGTGATTACTTTGAATATCAAAAAGATCTCTAGAAAGTCACACAAACTCACTTCCAAACTTCGCCCGAGAAAAGCCATAAGCTCCAGCAGGTAGAAACGCTTAAGAAAACAAATGCTAGAACCAAACTCGACACCAGGCTCCAAACCCATTGCAAACTCTGAAAGATATGTTACTAATATAAAATACAAAAATAATATACACAAACACACACTGAATTTATAAGAATGATGTTATTTGGTGTCTTCATATGTATTATATAATTTGAAGTTACAATAACTGTTAAGAGTCTTGTACATGAAATCACGGTAGACACCGACTTCACAAAACATGGTAGATAGCAATTTCAGAAAACATGGTCAAAACTAACTTATTAAATACCATTCACTAGATGACAGTTAATGATCTGAATAAGAATAAGTTGTATGTCCTATATAACTCTTGGTCCAATACAACTCTTGGTTAAACAATAAGTTGTAGGTCCTATATAACTCTTGGTTTGGTTAAACAACAAGTATATGTCCTATACAACTCTTGGTTAAACAATAAGTTGTATGTCCAATACAACTCTTGGTTAAACAACAAGTCGTAGGTCCTATACAGCTCTCAGTTAAACAATAAGTTGTATGTCCTATATAACTCTTGGTTAAATTATAAGTTGTAGGTCCTATATAACTCTTGGTTAAACAATAAGTTGTAGGTCCTATACAACTCTTGGTTAAACAATAAGTTGTAGGTCCTATATAACTCTTGGTTAAACAATAAGTTGTAGGTCCTATACAACTCTTGGTTAAACAATAAGTTGTATGTCCTATATAACTCTTGGTTAAATAATAAGTCGTAGGTCCTATACAGCTCTTGGTTAAACAATAAGTTGTAGGTCCTATATAACTCTTGGTTAAACAATAAGTTGTATGCCCTATACAACTCTTGGTTAAACAATAAGTCGTAGGTCCTATACAACTCTTGATTAAACGATAAGTCGTAGGTCCTATACAACTCTTGATTAAACGATAAGTTGTAGGTCCTATACAAATCTTGATTAAACGATAAGTTGTAGGTCCTATACAACTCTTGGTTATACAATAAGTCGTAGGTCCTATACAACTCTTGATTAAACGATAAGTTGTAGGTCCTATACAATTCTTGGTTAAACAATGAGTTGTAGGTCCTATACAACTCTTGATTAAACGATAAGTTGTAGGTCCTATACAACTCTTGATTAAACGATAAGTTGTAGGTCCTATACAACTCTTGATTAAACAATAAGTTGTAGGTCCTATATAACTCTTGATTAAACGATAAGTTGTATGTCCTACACAGCTCTTGGTTAAACAATTTTGTAAGTGAATATAATGGAAAAATTCAAAGAAACATTTAAGCTCACTGTACAGCAAAGAAAAATATGTAATTAGAAATTTAGCTAAATTACCCTTGACAAGTACTAGGTTACTAGTCTCCTATGGGCTAAAGATCCATTGGGTTTGATTCTAGAATACTTAATGCTAACAAAAAACACCACTCTACACACTAACATGTACCAATACCAGATGTTACCCTATCATACATTTCATAACATCTCGATGAAACCTGGCCATACTTATATAATTCACTCATTCAATTAATTGCATTTCTACCAAATAGAGCTAAATATGCTATATATATAAGTTATATACATGAGCCAGGTGTGGCTTAGTGTGCCTGATTGCAGAATTAAGGATCTATGGTTTGCATAAAATTGCTGCAAAGAAAGATCACATGCAGATCTTGAGCCATGGATGTATTATAATGCCAAACACACATAAGGTCAGAATGTTTGAACTCTGAGAATGGTCACCTATCCCCCCTGAATTGGATGCCAGTCCATCACAAGTTAATCCCCAGCTAACAGCTGTTCCCCATCACACAGTTTAGTAGACTGGAACAAGTAGGGTAAAGTGTCTTGCTCAAGGACACAACCATGAACTTTATACCATCCAATAGTCAGTCGGAAGCCATTGAGCCACGATTCCCCTAGATATAAGAGTGAGGTCAAATCCTACTGTTTGATCCCAGTAGCCCAAGAGTTGGCAGTGGGTGCTGTTGACTGGCTTCCTATCCTTTAATCCATCAGTTCAAAATGAGGGATGACTGGCACAGATAGGCCTTGTGTAGCTTTGAGCACATATCAAGAAAAAAAAAAAAACCAAACAAACCAAACACACACACACACAGAGATATATATATACACAAAAACCAACATACTTCTGTGCCCAAAGAAACTTTATGATGAAGTCCAGTAAGACATTAAAATACATAATGGCTGAGGACAAACCTTCTCCATATTAACCTTTGGTCCCTGGGACTGACCTCGTAACCATTTTGTGCTTCTTATAGTTTTCATGCTTTAACCTTTAAATTAGTAAGCATATGTTCACAAAAATTTGGCAGATTATCAGTAAACATTACAATGCTTTTATATGACAAAATATCAATTTTTTTTTTATTAAGTTTTAAGGTTTGTTAAGCAATGTTTTTCTCATGCCTTTTTTTTCTTTTCGCATGTTGCCTATCCAACATGCAAAGTAATTTTCATTTTAAGATTAAAAATACTTTTATGCATCAGAAAATTTTGAAATTTCACTTGTGAAATCTCTATAATGTCCAGATAGTTGTCAAATGTTTCTTATGAAAAAAACTTTACATTTTATCTGTTATTTTCACTAACAAATCTCTGTATGGGTTCGGTAGATTTGGCCGATCTTGTAACTACCATAAAAAATTAGGAAATAAATATAAATTATGCCTCTTTCACTCTAGAATGACAACAAATTATAACACGAAAACATAAATGTTTAGACTAAATAGCTTAAATCTCTTAACATTATACATTTATATATATTTATTATTTTAATTATATTGGCCTTTCAGCTGTGCCTGGATAACAATACAGAAGTTACAATGACACGGCACATGTGTTCTCATGTTACAGTATCCAATAATGTAAAACTGACCTTTAGTCTTTACAAAGTGACCTGTTTTGGCTGTGTTTTAGTAGACTAGTATTTTGTGAAATACAGCCACATTTCCATTATTATACATTATACATGTATAAAAATTATTGCTTTTTTGAAATATGTTATTAAACTTATTTTTCTCAAAACACAGAACAGTAAATAAAGAAGTAAAACAAACAATAATCTCTTCTAGTTATGACCTTTATACTCGGATGCTGCTTGATGCAGGTTGCTAAGTCTTAGGAAATATTGCACATGAAGGATATAAAACAAAATAATTTTTTTAAAGTTTTATATGTACAGTTGAATAACCAAAAAAACCATAAATTACTATATCAATACTATAGAATTCCACTACAATTTATCAAGCTTAGTAACTAAGCTGTATTTGGGTCTAAAAAATATGAAACTTCGAGCAGACTAAAGACACAACCTACCTCCTTGAAATCTTGGTTTGAAAGAAAGAGATGGCATCCTAACACATGAAAATGGCTTAGAAAGCCACTAGGGGGACATTCTGAGCTTTCAAATGATTATTCAGATGTCATATATTGAAGTAAGTGTATATAAGGGGCCGTTTCCAAAAATGGAAAGAGTTGAGTGGGGCCACTGTGTTTAATTCATTACATGAGTGATATCTCAGCAAATAGAAAAGACAGGAGGTTCTTATTTTATATTCTAGCATGTCAATATCAGTAATTTGAGTTCCTAATTTGTACAAAACTAAAGACTTAGTACTTTGACATCACAAACATCTAATTTGAACCAGTGCTGCATTCAACATACCATGTGACACACAAAAATCGATGTTTAACTGTGTTTTTAATATTTACTTTTAAATTAAGAAATCAAATAATGTATAATACTAAAATTTGAATAATAATCTACAGTT